ATAAAAACTTCTATATTATCAGAAACGGTATAAAAGTGTCTAATTTTTTTTTTATAGCGAAGAACATTTATATTTATATCCCACCAGCATTGCCCGCGGCTTCGCCCGCGTTCAGATGACCAAAAACCAAACTCTTAGGTTTTACATATTAGTATATTCTTACATTGTAGTTTTTGTATTTTTTCTCAGAAATGAGATATTTTCCCAGGGTAGAAAGTATCCTATATGTTGGCCCAGATAACCAGCCATCACCATACCAAATTTTATTAAAATCCCTCCAGTGGTTTTCTGTGATGCGGTAATAGACAGACAGACAGACAGACAGACAGACAGACAGACAGACAGACAGACAGACAGACAGACAGACAGACAGACAGACAGACAGACAGACAGACAGACAGACAGACAGACAGACAGACAGACAGATAGACAGACGGACAAACAAAAATTCTAAAAACTATAGATTCGGACTCTGTATCGATAATAATGTCTATTTCAATTAGGTTTTCCAAAAAATATTTAATGTACAGATTCGACTTAGTTACAATTTTATTATATGTATAGATTAATGAACTTAAAAGTTCTATCTAAATAGGCATAATAAAAATAATGAATATAGGAATTTACATAAAGAAGTTTTTTATTTTTTTGGTCTGATTAGTTCTGGAAATAAATAAATCCATTTTAGATATGTATATATCTATTATATTTCACTACTTATTTGATATTTTCTTTGGAGAAAAACTAGTATATATCTAATACATATAATAAAATGAGTCGAATCTGTTGTTGTACATTAAATATTTATTGAAAAATCTCAATGAAATAATCATTATTATTGGTACGGAGACCAAATCTACATATCTATAGTTTTTAGAATTCTTGTCTGTCTGTCTGTTTGGGAACGCGTCACGAGAAAACCACTGGACAGATTTTGGTAAAAAGTATGATGATAGCTGGTTATTTGGGTCAATATATAGTATATATACTTTTTACTGCGACAAAATATCTCATCTCTAAAAAATCTATGATGATGATGTGATGATGTGATGATGTTCTCCTAGCCGATTCCGGCCATGGCGGACAATCTCAATGAGATTAGCCAACTGCGCAGGAGATATTATAGTGCTCAAGTGTACGCGCAGACACAAGTGCACTCTCTATTCCTATCACTCTCATACTCCGGTGGGACGACCACTCGACACGACCGGTGAGAGTTAAGGTGCAGGACCGACGGCTTTACGTGCTCTCCGAGGCACGGGGGTGAAACACCGCCAACTTCCCAACTCCGGGCTGTTACTGAGACTTACTATACAGGAAGACTCAATAACTAAACTTGGCCCGACCCGGGACTTGAACCCAGGACCTCCGGGTGTGCAGCCGTACATGCTAGCCACTACACCACCGAGGCAGTTACTAATTAAAATAAGTTAAAAATCTATACTACCTAAACGTTAAAACGTAACTAGGCTCGAACCCGAGCTGTGCAAGGGTGAGTCGCTAGTGTTTTATAAAATGTTGTGTTTTTTTTTCTGTAATGTGGTTTTAGAAGCAGATGGGCACAATTTAGTTAGACAATGAGATTGATCGATCAAAACGAGATTTCCACACTAACGTCAGATTGCTTGAAATATGAGAAATTCATAGTAAAATCTGAGCCTAAAATAACGAAACATCCCTATTTAATATCACATAAATATTTCAGCGCTATTAAAGCAACACTACTGAGCACAGGCCTCTCCTCAATAAGAGAGGGATTTGGCCATAATTCACCACCCTGACCAAATGCGGGTTGGCGTTCTTCACATATCTTTCGTAAACTTGCTAAGTTTATAGGATATATTTAATATGATGTTTTCCTTCACTGTGAGGCAAGTGGTGATCATGTTGAAAATGATTTACACATGAAAATCTATAAGATGGGAGATCCAGGGTTTGAAGCCGCTTCGTTTAGTTTTCCAAGCAAGTGCCTTGCAACTAGCCGATCAAATATTATAAAAGCCATTTCTACACTAATAATTTAATTTTATTACGTTTTTATTACATTTAATAAACAAAAATAAAAAAAAATTGTTGAGACATTAACAAACCATCTTCCAGTTTCAATGTAAGCTACAAGGCTTGTGTTATGGATACCAGGTATTTGATATACTACACATATATAACTTTAAATACATATATGTAATTATAAATATAAACACCCATGACTGGGGTACAAACATTCGTGCTCACCACACAAATGAATGCTCCCAGCGGGACTCGAACTTACGACCGCTGGCACAGCAAGTAGAGTCACTACAAACTGAACCAAACGTGTCGACAAATATAATTAAACACAAAAACCTACGTAACAGAGTAAACATCAAAATCAACGAACCGGTAATAGGATAATTGACATTTCTAATCAAATTAAAATATATCACGACCAGTCAATTGTCAAATTAACAACTGTTAGAATATGTCAATCGACGACACGAACTAATTAGGTTAAATTAACATAGTCTATACTAATATTATAAAAAGGTAAAGTTTGTGAGTTTGTGACGTTGTATGGGGTAATCTCTGGATTTACTGAACCGATTTAGATGAAGTTCGGTAGGAAGATAGTTTGAAGCCTTGGGAAAGACATAGGATAGCTTTTATACGTGAAATCATTCCTTAAGTGGGTGAAAATGGGGATGAAAGTTTGTATGGGGAGTCAACCTACTGACGAACCTGAGCGAAGCCAGGGTGAGTTACTAGTTTGTTTATAATATGTAAACTGTATTCTAATCTGTATTTTAAAGTCCCACTGCTGGGTATGGTATGTACACAATAATATAGACTGCTTTTCACACCACTATTGTAAATGAGAATATTTATGTATGTTTGTTTGTTAATCCTTCACGCTGAAATGGGCATATATAGACGACATTATGTTCAAAGACAGACTATGGCTTGGATTAACAGCTACTGTAAGTAAAAAATACCCTTATGTAATATTATAAATACAAAAGACCCCAAGGACACACTGAGCGAATTGAATAAATAAAAGTAAAAGGTTCCCATAAAATAGAAAACCGTAGTTTTATGGGTTCTATTGTCACGGATATAGACTTGCTAAAGTAGAAAAACGACAAACAAATAAATTAACAAACTAACTTACACATAATAAAAATAAAAGAATAAATATTAGAAGAAAAGCAGGTCATTAAAATAATTCGGAAATTTGTTTTGTTTGTTTAAACGCGCTTATTCCTGGAACCTCCATCTGGTTTTAAATAACTCTATTTTAGTTTCATGGGCTATTTATTAAAAAAAGTATAAGCTATCTAACATATATCTACGACATCTATACATATAATAAAAGTGTAATTGATTGCTGTCTGTACATGAAAGATATTTGAGAAAAACTATCATGAGGGATTTTTATTTACGCAATAGAACCCAAAACAATGATTTTTACAATTTTTGTCTGTTTGTCTGTGCGTTTGTGCTCACTAATCTCAGAAACGACTTAACCGATTTGGATGCGGTTTTCACTAATATATTGTAGTAAGCTTCACTTAACATTTAGTATATGTTTTATTTCAATCGGCTCAAAAGTAAAAAATAACGTCTATTTAAAGAATCACCTAGGGACGAACCCGAGCGGAGCGAGGGTGAGTCGCTAGTATTGAATAAAACTATTTTTTCGGATTTTTTCACGGATATATTTTGATTTTTGGCTCTAGGTACACTCAAACGGCTAGTATGAAATATGTATGTAATATTATGTATGTATGTGTTATATCCCTTACTTGAGAAATGATTGATTCCCCATACAAACTTTGATCCCGCTTTTCACCCCCTTAAGGGATGATTTCCGGGTTAAAAATATATCCTATTTCCGTCCTAGGGTCTCAAACTATTTTTTTACCAAATTTCATCTAAATCGGTTCAGTAGATCCAGAGATTACCTCCTACAACGTCACAAACTCACAAACTTTACCTCTTTATAATATTACTATAAATAGTTGCTCCGTATTGTACTTTTAAGAATAAAACAACGTGCTTAAATGCTATACCTTTCGAATCGAACACAAAATGGTAGATGGGGACGAACCCGAGCGATGCTAGGGTGAGTCGCTAGTACATCAATAAATTAAGTAGGCGTATACTAGGCAAAAGCCAGTATAGTTGTACAATTATATACGTATTCGAAATATCCTCTCAAAATCATAATTTATTATCATTACTGAATTATTTAATGCTTTCCAACAAGTGTCATACAATGGAAATAATTGGGTCGATGGCCCCTACAAGCCGCAGGCTGATAATTTGATCACACAATGGATGCGTTGAACTGATTTCCATATAGTTAAAGCAGGGTTCAATGAATTTATATTGCTTTGTTTTATTTAAGCACTTTAATTAATTGGGCTCACTCCAGAGAACTTCATACAAATCAATCTGTAGAAATGTATAACAAATATTGAAAAGGCGATGTGTTTGTTCATAGAATGCTTAATTTGGCGATAATATTAGATTTTTTTTTCCCCGAATATGTATTTTTTCTTTCATCTTACTAATATTATAAATGTGAATAAATAAATAACAAATATGTTGGGACATAGACACACAGCACCATCTAGCTCCATGGTAAGCTACGAGGCTTGTGTCATGGATACCAGATAGTTGATACACTACACATATAAAACTTTAAATACGTACATATTATCCACATAAACACCCATGACTGGAGTACAAATTTTCGTGTTCATCACACAAATGAATGCCCCCAGCGGGACTCGAACCCGCGACCGCTAGCACAGCAAGTATAGTAACTACAAACTGAGGCAAACTGTCGTCAGAATGTTTAGATGTTTGGATGTTTGTTAGTCAATCACACTACTAACAATTCACTACTTATCCTGGAAAAATGAACGGTTCCCATGGGATAGATTTGTTTTTGATTTCTAAATATTTATGTTTTGTTATCTTTTATCTAATTAATAGTAAATGAACGCGGTTGTCAACAGGTGCGGGTGGGTCGGTGGGTGGGGTTGCGAGCGGGCGCAAGCGGCCTCTGCTAGGCGCTCGGGCCGCCATGTCGCCGACTAAGCGCGCTGTAATGACGCTACTCGCACGCGCCCGCGCAGCAACTCACAAACATGCAACGTGGCCTGCGCCGGAGTGAGTCTTTCTTTATAATATTTGTACCCACTCGCACCTCTAGAGTGTAGATTTTGGCACTCTTTTTACTGACAAAAAGGAAGGGAATAAGGGAAGCAAATAATTTATCCCTATTTTCTCTTCTGGTTAAAAGAGGTGCCTTCATAAGTCACGCTTAAAATATTTCTTTCGAAACCAAAATTAATAAATAATATACCTCTGATCGATTTTGACCACTGCGTCCAATTTCTCTGAAACTAACTATACAGAAGATGTACTACAGTACAGAAGTACACGAATACAAGTTATTACATCTATCTTTACAATAATATAATAGAGTTTTTCCCACAGTGTTAGATAAAATAGTAATTTATATCAGTTTTTGTTACTCAAAAGTAAACAAAAATCACTATATATAATATAGGCAAAAACAAAATTCGATTTCTTCCCAGTTTTCAAACCTATTTTCTTACATTTTTTTGTTTTTAGCTATTAACGAACATTAGTGTTGTGTTATCATGTATATGTAAAAATGATTACGGTCGAATTTCGGCCACTGAGCGAACTAATAAAATAACGCAGATACCAAAAATAAATTATTATGTTAGAAAAATATTCTTTATGCTTTTTAATGGACTAGATCATTTTTCTATCTATATAAATAAAAATGAGGCACCGAAATGTATGTATGCTCATAACTTCCAATCGACTGCATCAAATTGGATGATTTTTTTTTTGTGTTTGTTATTCTCAGGAAGTTTTGTTTAGAAGAAAATTAAATGATTTTTTTTACTAAAATAAGTTTTTTTTTAAATCTCATGATATGAAAAGTGAGTGAGTGAGATCGTTTTTATCCCGGAAATCATATTTTAAGGAGGTGAGAATGGGGATGAAAGTTTGTATGGGGAAGCAAGCTAGGGACGAACCCGAGCAGATCGAGGGTGAGTCGCTAGTTTACATATAAATATAACTTCTATTTACTTAAAGTAGAGAAGATTCTATACAACATATAAAAATACCTCAATGGTTGATCTATATTAATTTCAAAAATATAATCTAATATAGGATAACATAAAAATATATAATCTATAAATATAAATCTATAATGAAAGTGTGTTTGTTTGTATATTACTTATTTCACGTCGAACCAGAGTGACGGATTGGTATGATTTCTGTGTCGCAGGAGATTATCTCATTCCCACGAGAAACACGTTATAATACAACCCACAACAACTCATTGTGCCTATCTATGTATATAATATGATATATACATATAATCTATTATATACATATAATCTATCTACTCTATACTAGCCGTTAAACGTACCTAGAGACAAACTCGAGCGAAGCAAGGGTGAGCCGCTAGCTATTTATAACTTATTAATATGTTAGTGATCTTGACGATGAGTGATGAGTTGCAATTCTGATTCATTAAGTAGCCAAATGTTTGGATATGTTATGTAAAATGAAAAGCTGTACGTCTTGCTTCTTAATCGTATTAATATATGCGCAAATCCATCATAAAGATGTTGGTTTGAAATTGAAAAATATGAGCTTAGTTTATTGTATACTGCAAATATCGACCGCCTTTGCCTGGTTAGTTTTTGTACATAGTATTTTCTATACAAATTTCATTTTCCGAACAAATTAAATCGATTTTAATTAAAACTGTGAATAAGGGTGTTATAATAACCTTTTTCACTATAAAAATATTAATTTTCATAACAATTACCCTCTGAAAAACTGTCTGTATAGCTCTCTACCTCTCTCAACCTCTATAAGATATAGAGGTAGAGAGTATTCAATATATAACTTTATAAAATAAAGTCGCTAATTGTTTGTATGTTAGTCACTTAGTTCTTTTAATCCACTTAACATATTTTGATACGTTTTTCATAATCATGTAAAGAATTTCTTCCGTAAGGTTTATATGTTAAAGGCTAAGTGATGTGGTTTCACATACTTAGAGAATTTCTTTCAAAAAGATGTATAGGACATGAAAATCAGTTCACAAGTAGCAAAGATGGTGTTAATTAGAAAATGAATTACATAATTGAACATATCTACTCGTTCGAAAGTATATATATTCTAAAAAATGATCATTATTTTTTTCGTAATAGATCTTTGTCGATTCAACGTATTTCGATACTGGATGTATTTCGATGCGGTTTGTATATATATATATATATATATATATATATATATATATATATATACATACATATATATATATATTGTAATAATATATCATTCCCATATATTTTCTTAGACTTTTATTCTACAAATATTATAGAAAAATGTACAATTTCAATATTCTAAAACTTTAATTATATACCATGTGTAATAAATTGCCTCTTGCCTATAAGGCGTAGGGCATGGAGCATCTCACGTGTCGCTCTAAGCGATATAACGTAGCTGTACCATGCCTGAGTGAATTTATTTCCTCTCGCATATATTACAGCTCAAGTTTGTTTACGACCAAGTTTTCGAGCACTGGATATATTTTCTGCAGCGAAAATTGTGTCTGATATTATGAAGTTGTAAGCAAATGAAAATAATTTTAAAGTTATTTAGAACTAGCAACTCACCCTCGCTTCGCGTTGAATAGATAGACTATATAATATATGTACATAGCTATTGAATAATAGGTAAGTACTTTAAAAAAATTAAAAAAATACATCCCTTACTTGAAAAATGATTAATTCCCCACACAAATCTCCATCCCCATTTTCACCCCCTAAAGGGATTATTTCCGGGATAAAAACTATCCTATGTCCTTTCCAAGATCTCAAACTATCCCCATACCAAATTTCATCTAAATCGGTTCGGCAGATTAAGAATGAAAAAATAACAGACAGACAGAGTTTCGATTTTCACATTTAAATATTAGTATGGATTTATTCGATTTTTTGATGTTATTAACATTTTCTTTTTTTTTTACTTGTTATTTATTCAAAAATGTTAACAGTCTTTGTTTGTAACATCGATTATTTAACGTTAGTTGGAAAATGAAAGCATTGTATAGATACGAGAGTTAAGTGATTACTTTTTTAAGCTAAAAAATTACATCAACATGAAAATTAATAGAATAAATCATTAATATTCTGGAATGGATAGAGGGTTTTTTTCAAAATAGAGTCGCTAGTTGCGTTTGTCTGTTTGTACGCGTAGTTCTTACTTTAATGTTTGGCTCAGTTTGTAGTGACCCTATTTGCTGCGCGGGTTCGAATCCTGCTGGGGGCATGCATTTACGTGATGAACACGAATGTTTGTACTCCAGTCATGGGTATTAATATTTATAATATGTATGTATTTAAAGTTATATATGTGTAGTGTATCAACTATCTGGTATCCATAACACAAATCTCGTAGTTTACCATGGAACTAGATGGTACTGTGTGTTAATATCCCAACATATTTATTTATTTATTTACATTTAAGTCATATTTATGTAATTTTTCTATTGTTCCAGACACTCAGGCTTACTTCCGCTTATAAGGGACGACTTCGTCACCGGCGTCGGCGTCAATATCAACCTAGCGTAATCTAGTCAAATTTACAATAAATAAAACTAGTTCTGTAAATAATTTTTAAGCTTAAGTATAATTTGATTTTGTCGACACTTGTATCTATAAGTTCTTTCAGATAAACACCTTCTATATCCACATAACATTTGAAGAGTTACATTGAAAATATTTTTGGTTATTTATTATAAATGAATTGGAATTATGTAAGGACTTAATGTTGAGTAATATGTTATTTTATATACATAACTTTATTTATGATATAATAAAAATTATAAAGAATTTCAGCTACTCTCCAGTGTGAGGATAAAAAATTGATTAAATACGATGTAGACGCAAATTACGATTATTTTTTAGCGATAAAGCTCTATGAACCTCCCAGCCCCTTAGACTTAGCTTTACATATTCGCATAACTCATACTATTTTTAGTATATGAAAAAAAATGAAAAATTGTAACATGTTCAATGTTCACGACTTGCGACGCTAATATTTACGCGAAAATTTATATACACGTGATTTTGATATCAAAATGTACTTTAAAAATATTCTGAAATATAGATTCTTTGCACTTTTACTGACAGTCTGATTAAATGTCGAATTTTTATGTTTATTTTTAAGTTAAGTAAACTAATACAAAAACAAGATATGTTATTTTTATTTTGTCTTGTATGTACTCGTAATACTTTATGACTACTAAATGGCACCTGCTAGAAGTAATATTATTAAGCTTCGTTCGAAAGTTTTTCAAAAGCTCAAAAGTTTTAAAGTTGCAGCACACAATGAAACTAGTATTAATGGATAGAATATAGTTAAATAAACAAATAATACTATAAATATGGTACCATAAAATGTCAAATTTCGAAAATATTTTAAGTGAAAATCATGGAAATTATTTTTTGAATACAAATGAAGGCTTATACATATAATAAGTTCATTCTTACAAGCTTTTATTTAACATGCAATGTACAAATATTGCAAATTGGTGTTTCTTAAGTCTTGCTAGTTGAATTAGAACAAGCTTTTGTATCATATAAATTTATAAAATGATGGTTTTGATTTATCATTTATTTCTTCTTTTTAGCGCTTTAAAATGAAAACTTGCTTTGTAAAAAAGTTCTTTTTACTATTAATTTTCAATGTTTGTCGTCGTTGTTATATGGTGACCTTTACCTTTGCATATCTCGAAAAGGTGACATTTTAGAGTACTATATTGCTTATACTTTATTATTTGCTTATGTGTTTTCTATGTATTTAATACATATATTTTCTATGTATTTAAAACGTATATGTATTTGTTTCATAGTGGGTTGCAACTTTAGAAAAAAATAATAATAGGATGTTGGCAATACCACAAAAAATGTCTCTTTTGTTAATGGTTTTTATTTAATTATCTACATATTGAGCTACAATTTTGTCTTTGCAGGTGTCACAATAATTATGTATGTATGTGTGTATGTATATTTACTTCATTTTAGTCAATTTTGAAGAAACCCCAGT